AATCCTGAAAAAAAAAGTATCAGTTTCCACAAAAATATTTAGCAGTACAACTGTTTCTTGAGCAGCAAATCAGCATATTAGAATGATTTCTGAAGGATCATGTGACACTGAAGACTGGAGTAATGATGCTGAAAATTCAGCTTTGCATCATAAGAATCAATTACATTTTAAAATATATTCAAACTTATATTTAAGTTGTAATACTATTTCACAAAATTACAGTTTATTTTTGATCAAATAAAGGCGGCCTTGGAAAGCAGAAGAGACTTTAAAAAAAACATTTTAAAAACTTACAGACTCCAAACTTTTGAATGATAGTTTATGTATATTTTTTTTTACATTTTTTAAGGATTTAGAATTTTGGTTAAACTGGTGATCAACTGCTAAATTGGTTTGAATAATAAAAAAAAATGAATAGTAAAATAAAATAAAATATCTTAAATAAAAATAATAAATAAAAATATCTTTATTTGTGTTCCAAAGATGAACGGAGGTCTTACGGGTTTGGAACGACATGAGGGTGAGTAATTAATGACAGAATTTTCATTTTTGGGTGAACTATCCCTTTAATATGTGTGTTAAATATAATTAAAGCAATATCTTTGATAACTTAAAGGGATAGTTCACCCAAAAATGAAACCTGTATGAAATTCAAAAAGATTTTTCGAAAAATGTGGGTAACCAAACACAGTTGATAGTCCCATTGACTTCCACAGTATTTTTTTCACCCATAATATGGAAGTCAATGGGGACCAGCAACTGTTTAATTACCAACATTCTTCAAAATGTCTCCTTTTGTGTTCAACAGAAGAAAAAAATCATGCAGGTTTAAAACAACTCGAGGGCGAGTAAATTATGACAACTTTCATTTTTGGGTGAACTATCCCTTTAAGTTAACATGTTAATTTAAATACGGTTTCACTCAAATGTGTCTGCTGCTTATTGTGTCAGTAAATGAGTGTCCTTACTATGGTCGATGTAAAAGGTTCTTCCGTCTGCGTGCACTCGTTCCTCCCACCCAGGCTGCGGAGAGAGAAAAAAACAGAGGCATTAAGATCAGACGAAACCACCAGACCTGATACACCACTGATACACCAACACAACAACTGTAACGGATAATGTGACGGGAGGAAGAACAGAAAGATATGACGATTCCTCGGTTCAGTGTGGGAGAGCTTCCACGACAGGGTTCCACTGGCATGCAGAAGAGGCCTCGTTTATTCACTCTCACCCTGACAAACACGCACTCGCATTCACATACTGCCACAAGAAACTGCCAGGCCTGATGAAAATCACAGCCAACAATTCATAACCCACAACATTAAGGGAAGCTGTTTGACGACCCACACACGGGATCCGGAGAGGGGACAAGACCTTCGTTCACGACTGAGAGACTGTGAGCCAGCACTGAAGACAAGCGCTCTCGTGCTGAACGGGCATCAACCAAAAACTGGCATCGAATGAAGCACAGGATGGACACTGTGCAGGGGTGGAGGATGCAGAGAAGAGGATGGATGGATGGAGAAATGATAACCAACACAACCAGATATGAGATACGTGCAGGGAAAAATATAAAGAGAGAAAGACAGAGACACAGGACAAACAGAGCTTAATAGAAGGGTTCTGGAAGTAAAAATCCCATTCAAAATATCCAGTTAAGATAATGTACACAAACACTCAAAACACACATACCAAGAGTTCTGGGATTTTAAAGTGATGGCATATGCTAATGTAAATGCTACAGTAATATTTGGTGGATCACAACCCAAAACCCTATATTTTGTTGGAAATTCGGCTGACACTTATTCAATATTTGGCCTGGTTTTAATGAAAAGCTTATTCAGCTTTCATATTATGTATAAATCTCAATTTTGAAAAATTGACCCCTATGACTGGTTTTGTGGTCCAGGGTTACATATAACAAAAAGCCAACAGTGTTATAGGAGAACAGAGACAGAATAATAGAAAGACTGTGACAGAGAATAAAAGTACACTCACAGGTCCAGTTATGGCAGGACTCTGGAGGCGAGGGTCTTCCCACTGTGTTTTTTTGGTGTCTGAGGAGGAGAAGAGGAATTTTACAAGCCTTTATAAGCCTCGACAAGACCTTCGTTCACGACTGAGAGACTGTGAGCCAGCACTGAAGACAAGCGCTCTCGTGCTGAACGGGCATCAACCAAAAACTGGCATCGAATGAAGCACAGGATGGACACTGTGCAGGGGTGGAGGATGCAGAGAAGAGGATGGATGGATGGAGAAATGATAACCAACACAACCAGATATGAGATACGTGCAGGGAAAAATATAAAGAGAGAAAGACAGAGACACAGGACAAACAGAGCTTAATAGAAGGGTTCTGGAAGTAAAAATCCCATTCAAAATATCCAGTTAAGATAATGTACACAAACACTCAAAACACACATACCAAGAGTTCTGGGATTTTAAAGTGATGGCATATGCTAATGTAAATGCTACAGTAATATTTGGTGGATCACAACCCAAAACCCTATATTTTGTTGGAAATTCGGCTGACACTTATTCAATATTTGGCCTGGTTTTTAAACCATGTGCAGATAAATCCTACTGTTTATGCATTTACAAACCTGTAATTTCTCCTAATCAGACAGTATAATTTTAATAATTTTGCATATTTGATAAAAATTAAATTAAATTAAATTAAAATATGCACTGTGTACGGTCACTGGTATCAGCTGAGAATCACTGATTTAATCTGATTTTTTTTTTTTTTTTTAGATCCCTATCAAGAAAATGAATGGAAAAAATACTTCTGGAACCAAGGCTGCTTAAAAGTGGGCAGTCAGTATCGAGCTCTATAACTGAAAGCACTGAACAAAAACCAAAAAAGAAATCAGAACAAGAAAAAAAAAAAAACAACAACAACGAAGACTGACAATAAAAGAGTGAACGCGGGAGTAAAACAGAAAGGGAAAAAGAAGGACAGTCGTCCATGCCAGCAAGGATAAGAAAGGTGGAGAGGTCAGAGGGCGGACAGGCTGGTGGGCAGGCAGGTAAACACGCAGGCAGAGAGAGGACCGACCTCCTCTGGAAGATTCTGCCACAAACAGCATCAAGCGTAGAGTGAACCATGTTCCCCCACGCCACCGAAAGAGAAATCACACACACACACACCACCAGCTTGTGAGACAGAACTGCAATCAATGCAGTGGGAATCATTTATATAGGGTTTAAAAAAAGAAGAAAAACCAGTGTTGTTGTTAACTTAAAACTATTAACATCAATTTAAATGAAGATCAAATAAAATAAAAAATAAATATTTGATTATATACTTAAACATGACAAAGCACATAACATAATTACTAATTTATGTATGAATTATGTATACATTTAAATTAAAACGGAAAAAATAAATCCAATTCAAAATATTAATACTATATTAGCATATAAATAATACTAAAAAAAAGACCTCAGGAATGTACTAGGTGATGGACGAAGGACGGAAAAGTATATTCTTATATATTTGATATAAAAATCAATGATTTGCAGTCATATGACTTGTTACTTATAACTAATATATTTGCATATATTAATATACTTTTAATTTACTTGCATGTACATGGCATTTTCAACATTACATGAAAACAGGCATGAAAATAGATGTTTATTAGATAAGTCCCTGTTTCCTGGCACGTATTTCCACTGAAAACCTGAGAAGAGAAGGTGTGATTACCAAACACCGGCATATAAGTATTTCTGCTAGGTGGGGAAAAAAAAAATAAAAAATCATTAAGAGTTTCTTCACAATCACATCATGTGAGATGCATATTGCATCAACTCTTGCTTAAAGACGAGTCAAAAACCAAACTGTTCTCAAACACGTATTAAAAGATAAAAAAGCTTGTGAACTCTGGAGATCATGGAGATCTCTCACTGGAGATCATTTGTGCTACCAGGGATGCATTATTCCTTGGGTTCAAAAATTAATTTTATTTTTTATTTACTGCTCATAAATATAAATAGTGCTTTAAAACACATTTTTGTCGATATATAAACAGGATTATTTATTATTTATAGTATTTATGGGAATATTTAGAATATCTTTGAGGTTCTTGTGATGAGGCAGACTCTGAAATGAGGTGACAACACAAAACATCATTTCACTTCTCATATTTCCATTGATATTGGCTTAATGTGAGTAAAGTTTCACGTTGCCACATGGAGTTCTGAAGAAGAAAAAAGTTCGCTACACAAGTCACAACAGCTGTTTTCTTTAGCAAACCCTTTTATATCTGAATAGAATCTGCTGTTATTTAAATTGTATTAAGTTGCATTTCCTTATAAAGTTACCAGGCAACTCGCAAGCATTGCATTTACTTGCCAAAGGCAATTTTGGCGCTTATCAAGTGTTCATTTTGGGCTAGATTTCAGTACTGTTCTTGGCCAAACTGCATTCTAGCTAAACAAAAAAGAACTGATCTCAGATGAGCTAATCCACTGTCAAATTGTCATAGCATTGTTCTTTTACAAAACAGCTTGAGGATGTAGTCCATCAACAAAGAAATCCACAAAACACCACAGCCAAATTCCTGCTGTTGTGTCATTAGTTACGGTTTTCCCATTCAATTGTCAGACTTAATCCTATTTTTTGCTTTGCAGATTGAATTAGTTTCGCGATTCTCGTAAGATATCACCGTTGCTTTCATGATTCTGCATCGCTGTGTCACAACACAAGGACACATGTCACACCAGGCTGTTGAAAGAGCTCGGATTGTGGGTAATATTGCTCAACGGCACTCTTTTTGCACTCACAGGAAGTGGGCCGAGGTCGCCAGGGTCCAGGGATGCTTTTGTCCTCATGTGAACGGGATACTTTAAGCGAGGATCTTCCTGAAAAGAGAAAAAGAGAGAGGTTGACACATGCTCAGGTTTTCCCAGAAGGTTTTATCCTCATTTAGCAGTAAATTGCATTCGCTGTCTGCTGCCAAAATGCAGTTCTTCAGACAATAAGGAAGTAATACTGGAACGACTGTGTTTCTTTCTCACCTCATGGGGAGATTATGCAGTAATTACACATAGTGATCTTTTTAGTTTTCTCGGTGGACATTTCAAAACCACTAGCAGGATTTAATAAAGACATACTTTGTAAACCACAACGTATTATTTTAAGCAATCGTGCAAAGAAGAGAAAATCCATTTGTTTTCATTTTAAATCTGTCCAATTACACAGAACCTCTAAAGAGGATGCAATACATTTGACACAAAAGGACAGAGGCGAGTCTGTGCTGGGGGAAATTAGGGCACTGGAGAGAAGCTGCAGTTCCTCTGTCAGACACCAGGTGGCAGACTGATTCTGAGCGTATCACGTTTGCATCACCCGGGGCCTCCCTCCAGCTATGGGGCACTGAAGTGTGCAATTGTGAACAAGACTGTGTGTGTTTGTGTGTGCGTATCTGTGAAAGTCTTTTTCCCCCAAATACCTTTCACGCATCTTAACGTAGGCAAAAGTGAAACATTAAAAATATCAGATCTTACTTTTCCGTAGTGGTTGCTTACAGAAACAGCAACCACTAAATTTATTATTATTATTCTTTATTTTTATTATTATTATTTTAATAAATTAGCAGTTTGTATTGGAGACAGTAGTATTTTATAGTATTTTTAAGATGTATAATACATTTTGTATTATATAATATTATACATAATTTTAAATCAGGAAGATTTCTTGGTTAGTAGCAGCAGACATATTAACATATACATATTTTTTTGTTAGTACTTTCAACATACATATTTTATTTCAGCTAGTTGCCAAAGTAATTCTCATTTATTATTCATTTAAATATAAAATATTATTTTTTTATGTTTATTTATATTTTATTTTATTTTATTTCAAGTAATAAGAGTAATAAACAAATGCTTAATGATGAGATATAAATAGATAGCAGCAGTGATCACAGCTGCAAATAAACCACAGTTATGTCAGCAAATGGAACTATAGATCTGTTCCAAAACCTAAAGAGCTGCCGTGCTGCAGCATCACAAAACATACATGACTACAAAACTTGACTATGACTGCACATATGACTACCACGATTACAACAGGGTTTGTCATTACCGTGCTACTAAGCGTGATTTTAATTAGGTAGAGCTATAAACATATTTTATAGTGAACATTTCATTTTTTCACTCATGGACATCTTGCATTTTTTTCCACGGAGGTCATTACAAAGCATTCTGGGATTGCCCTTCCCATGAACTTAACTAGTTTTGGGTGAGATTTTGTGAGTGTTTGTCTTACCCATGTGGTGATTCTGCTGTTGTGGTCGATGAAGAACGGCCGTCCATTGGGTGCTATTCTCATTTCCCATCCAGGGGGCAGGAAGCTCTGGTTTGCTTTATGCTGGGATTTGGGTGAGCTGTAGGGAGAAGGCTGCGGGGACTGAGGGTTGGAAAACGTGTCCTTTACGGCTCGCCGTATCTGGGCATTATTGGCTCCCTGCAAAAGGAAACAGAGCCAATGTTAATTATTTCCCTGTTTGTCGGACTCTATTATTTAGTTTTATAGCTCTTGTGTGTAATTTGAATTTTGTGTAAGAAAGACTTTTAAGAATGGGAAATGTCAAAAAATTGAAAAGATTTGGAAAACGCAGTACGTGTTAATGAGGCGGCACGCTGTTATTTAATCCTGCTAAAATTAATTAGATCACACAACTCAGGAGGATTTCACCTCTGGCCGTCTTTCTCTCTCTTTTTTTTTCTTTCCCAAAAACAAATGTTTCCCTTTCTACACTTTAATTAAAAGTCACATGGCCCTGTGCGACCCTGATCATTTATAAATACAACCCAGTATTTCTTTATGTAAACCTTCATCATTATTTCATGGAAGTTAAAATGCTGTCATTAAACTTTCAATTCCATACGATCAAGCACTTATTGAAAATCTACAAATGATTTTAACAGATGTTATAAAATGATTAAAAGCTTGTTAATGCACAACACTTTTGCTGCTACTGAGGTGTGATATGGGTAAGGTTAGGGACAGGTTTGGTGGTTTGGGTAGGTTTACAATTATGAGCAAGACTGTGTGTGTTGGTGTGTGCGTGCGTATCTGTGAAAGTCTTTTTTCCCCAAATACCTTTCACGCATCTTAACGTAGGCAAAAGTGAAACATTAAAAATATCAGATCTTACTTTTCCGTAGTGGTTGCTTACAGAAACAGCAACCACTAAATTTATTATTATTATTCTTTATTTTTATTATTATTATTTTAATAAATTAGCAGTTTGTATTGGAGACAGTAGTATTTTGTTATTGGAGACTATGTGTTATTTTAGTATAAATTATATACTTTATATTTATTTAATTTATATTTTGTTAACGTTTTGAATTATGTTTATTTTTTTATATATTATTTATTTCTATATTTATTTATTTATTATATAATATTTCAATAAATAAATAATATATATATATATATATATACACACACACATATACATACATTATATATATATATATATACATACACATACACACACACACATATATATATATATATAGTATTTTTAAGATGTATAATACATTTTGTATGTATTAATATTATACATAATTTTAAATCAGGAAGATTTCTTGGTTAGTAGCAGCAGACATATTAACATATACATATTTTTTTGTTAGTACTTTCAACATACATATTTTATTTCAGCTAGTTGCCAAAGTAATTCTCATTTATTATTCATTTAAATATAAAATATTATTTTTTTATGTTTATTTATATTTTATTTTATTTTATTTCAAGTAATAAGAGTAATAAACAAATGCTTAATGATGAGATATAAATAGATAGCAGCAGTGATCACAGCTGCAAATAAACCACAGTTATGTCAGCAAATGGAACTATAGATCTGTTCCAAAACCTAAAGAGCTGCCGTGCTGCAGCATCACAAAACATACATGACTACAAAACTTGACTATGACTGCACATATGACTACCACGATTACAACAGGGTTTGTCATTACCGTGCTACTAAGCGTGATTTTAATTAGGTAGAGCTATAAACATATTTTATAGTGAACATTTCATTTTTTCACTCATGGACATCTTGCATTTTTTTCCACGGAGGTCATTACAAAGCATTCTGGGATTGCCCTTCCCATGAACTTAACTAGTTTTGGGTGAGATTTTGTGAGTGTTTGTCTTACCCATGTGGTGATTCTGCTGTTGTGGTCGATGAAGAACGGCCGTCCATTGGGTGCTATTCTCATTTCCCATCCAGGGGGCAGGAAGCTCTGGTTTGCTTTATGCTGGGATTTGGGTGAGCTGTAGGGAGAAGGCTGCGGGGACTGAGGGTTGGAAAACGTGTCCTTTACGGCTCGCCGTATCTGGGCATTATTGGCTCCCTGCAAAAGGAAACAGAGCCAACGTTAATTATTTCCGTTTGCCAGACTCTATTATTTTCTTTTACTGCTTTTGTGTATAATTCATTAGAATTTTGTGTAAGAAAGACTTTTACGAACGGGATATGTCAAAAAACTAAAAAGATTTGGAAAGCGCAGAACGTGCTAATGAGGCGGCACGCTGTTATTTAATCCTGCTAAAATTTTAATTAGCACACAACTCAGGAGGATTTCACTTCCATTTCACCTCTGGACGTCTTTCTCTCCCTCTCGTTTTTTCTCTCTTTTTTTTCCAAAAACAAATGTTTCCCTTTCAACACTGCAATTAAAATTTGCATGGCCTTGTGCAACCCTGATCATTTATAAATACAACCTAGTACTTCTTTATGCAAACTTTCAAACCTTTGTGAAATGTTTACTCAATATTCTACATTGACATCAGATGCAGAAAATGCAGCACCTGTCATGTGATTAGTCATAATTGCTTATCTGATGAATAAATTCTGGGTATTCTTTCCTTCTGAAAGCTAAACCAACAAAGGCAATAAAATGAGAATAAGGAATACGACTGTGTTCCCAGAGTGTTAATAACACCGAACATGAATTACAAAGAACCAGCTCTTAACTTTATGACAAAGCCTTTCAAAATTTAGATAATGTAACTTAAAATTAGATATTTTTATATTACTTTCCAAGCAGGCGCTTTACAGAAATCCCTCAAACTTTATTTTATTCTTCTTCACACTTCTCAGCAACTAATGTAGCTCCTAACTTAACGCTCAAACTTTTGTGAATCATTTTAGCCATATTATCTTGTTTTACAACTTTATACTTATATGTAAGATAATTTGTAAAAACAGCAATTCCACAGGTCTACAGCAGTAGCATAAATAATATTATAATATCTAAAATATTATATTATCATAAATGGTAGAGGAATATTATATTATATTAAAAACAAACAGCTTCATAAATAATATTTTAACATCTTAAATATATTATCATTGATAATAAATAAAGAACAATTATATTATTATAAACAACACTTGATAAAATATTCCATTTTATTCTATAAAAAAAATCAAATCCAAAACCACAAGTCACAAAACAAGCAATTCCACAAGTCTACAGCAGCATCATAAATAATATTCTAATATATAAAATATCATATGATCCTTAACAACAAATATAGGATTATTATTATAAATAATACATACATCATATCTAAAATAATATATTATACAAAAACAAATCCATAATCACTAATCTACAGCATCACAAACAATAGTATAATAACAAAAATATTATAATATAATTTAAATAAATAGAAGAATATTATTTTATTATTAGTATTATTATGAACAGCATTATATTATATTACATCACATTATATTACATTACATTCACTATAGTCAATATATATCAAGTTGTACGATTGGTGAAAAGCAATTGTCAAGATTTTTTTTCCCTGTTCTAAGATAAAATAAAAAAAAGATACAGATTTCATTTGATTTCACTACTTGCTTTCTGCACAGTAAAAATTGCCCTTCTGTGACAATATCGGCAAAGTGTTTCATGTTTCAAGTGGCGAGTGATGCTTCGGTTAAGAGATGTGCTGAAACTGTAGTTTTGTTTAAAATATCGAGTTCAAGCTATGACAGAAAGAATCAAGAGGGACAGAAGAGGGATTTTAATCGATACCACACCCCATGCCTTTTTTGTCAGCTACCATGTTTTTTTTTACACGGAAATTTGTGGCTGTAATTAGCAATAATTGCTATGAGAGCAAACACAAGACATTTATTCCCCAACATCTGCAGATTAGCCACAAGAGCTATTGTTTATTCCATTAGCAAAGTCATTCTTCACAGCGGAAGCCATTAGCTCTGGCTGAGGCCCATCATCGCAGATAAAATTGTTTGCCATTTTCAAAGGAATATTCTGGATTAAATTATGATTTGAGCTCTATAAACACCACATGTGGCCTGTTTTCGATTACCACTGGAAATAATTGCGATACGTTTATAAAAACAAACAGTAAAACAGCACTTACACAAGTTCAAAGCATCACAAACAAATAACATATCTATAAAAATTAAATTAAATTAAATTAAATTAAATTTAAACATGTCATAACATTAATTGAAAGCATGTTATTAGAAAGTTTAGAAGGTATTTTCCAGAACAATGTACTATAAAAGCAAAATAAGAAGTAGGTTTAAGGTCAGACATGGATTTAGAGCAAGAGAACAGAAGGAAACTATGAAGTCATGGCTGTTTGAGAGGTTAAACTTCTTTTTGGCAATGGTGACACCTTGGCGCGTTTCACGATAAGCAAACGGACAGCTGCCCCAACCCAAGTCTTAGGTAGTGTCAGCTGATACAAATTTACAAAGTGGGTGTAGAAGTCCTGTTACCTCCACGCAAAAGTAAATGTCAATGAGTACATTAAAACTTGATACACACAGCAGCTGCTCAATTCATCATGAATAAGGACTAAACTTCTGAAAGTCTGTGGGACGATTACAAATACAGCACAGTACATATCAGTAACCTGTTCTTTAAAGATTTTTATAGTCAGTCACATCTTATGAGGCATAACCAAATTAAATTTTAAAAAAAAATACAAAATTGCCATTCTGACAGTATATAATGGGCTGTGGAAAATATCTTTACATTCTCCTTAATTAAATATTTACACAAATCTATCCTTTCATCATTGAAATAAAACTAAACAAAAAAGTGAAATAAATAAATAAAAAGTTCTCTAAAACATATGCCAAATTATTGGGACACCTATAAGTTCTCATGATTGAACTATTTAAATATTGCATGGTTGAAATGATTTCATTTTGGGAGAACAAAGTGACCAAGATGTGATATGAAAGACAAAAATTTGCATATATATGCAGGAACTTGCCTGACCAAGAAAGCAAATATACATTTTAACAGCTATTATGCAAAATACCTGACCTCAGAATGCCACAATGTGCAAGATAATATTTGAATATCAATATCTGGGTAGTAGACATTATCTTTCCCCGAAGTATCTCATGTTAACTATCCATTTACTTCATATATCAGACACTCTGCTTTCCAGAAATCAACCACTGCCACAACTGTGAATACTTATATTAAAAAAAAAATGGGCTGGGCAAGTTAACGCATTATTGTGGCGTTAAGGCATTAATTAATTAACACCGACAATTATTTTATCACACGTTAACGCAGTTTTTTATTATTACGAAAGTCCGTTGCTCACTGGCTCTGAATACACATACAGACAAACCATGGGTCACCAGAGGGGTGGGATGTTGATCAGTACTGGCTTGGGATGGGTGTCATCACGCGTCCAAACCAATGAGAGCATTTGGGGAGGGCATAAGACTGCAGCAGCGCAGCGCTCGCATGAAGCGCTCACAACTTCATAAGTGGGAAATAGGAAGTTTCAAAACGCTTAGTGTGATACAACCTTATTCTCCCGCATCCCGCACACATGAGTCTCTACCCACACACACCCGCACTCGCCCATCAAGTGTTGTCCCGCGATAGTGCAGGTCTCTACTTGGAAGGTGCCTGTTATAATGTTATGATCGAGGCTCTGGACTCTGAGCATAACTTGTTTTTCTATAACAAACTATAAAATATTTTCTATAAAAACGTTAATGCCCTGGCATAGCTTTGGTTTTATATTTAATTCGATTACATTAATGTCATAAATTGAGATTTACAAGAAATATTTAACTGCTACTATGTAAAAGGAATACCACTGTAAAAAAGCACCTTATTTGTTTAAAGTGTTTGCAAACCAAATGTTATTGCACTTTTGTTCATATAGCAGTATTTTTAAATGAAAAAAGTGCACAATACACTACTTTTGAATTCATTATTAAATTTTGTGCATAACAATGCGATTAATCACAATTAATTGCAGAAAATCACATGATTAATCGCGGTTAAAAAAACATTTAATCGTTGCCCAGCACTAAAAAATAAATAAATAAATAAATAAATAAAGAACCTTGGCAATTGCAAAAATTTGTATTTTCAAGAATGTATGGCTGTTTGGACATTTTCCTAAACTTTTTTCTATCAGAAACGCTTAAAACAAAAACTATAACAACAGCACTAAACAGAAATAACAGGATTTTCTTTTTTTTTCTTTTACTGTGCATCAAAGTGAATTAAATTAACTTGAATTGATAGGTCTGGAGCAGATGGGTCAGGAAATTGTCTCTCAACTGATTTGGCTTTTGGGACATCAGACTTTCTTAATAAAACTGATCCATGCAAAATGCAAGGGCTACGACTCAGCTGTTCAAACCTAAAGAAGCCCGTGGCAGTGCGCATAGAATGAGATTCTGATTTCCTATTTTGACCAAATGTGTGTGGATATTGTCATTATATTACACTGCACTGTTGCAATGGAAATAAAACAGGTGTGAAACCTGGTTTAAAATTAACACCGTCTACCACCAAATGTGATGAAATAACTGTCTTTGTCAATTGCATGAATGATAATCTGAATCTCACATATGTGTCACGATTCAAATCAAAGACACAAACTGAAGGAAACATATATGTCGACACTTGAGCTTTGTGCAAACAACATTTTCCTCAGAAGTTTATCTAGAAGGAATCTTTTTTTTCTCTCCAGAACTTCATGAGTCAACACATATAATAAATATTCCTCACATTAAGCCAACAAAGCGAAAATATGAGGAACAAAACCACAATATGTATGAGGCAAAAAAACAAAACAATGACTGGCACTGTTGTCACTAATTTGCAGAGGAAGACAAACAAAGCAAAATATGGCAAGGACAAGTGTCAAGTACAAAAGTACACAAAAAAAGTACAAATTTAAAAAACAAAACAAAAAGTTAATATAATGAAAGAAAAAATGAAAAGAAAAAATTAAAGAAGTTAACACTTATCAGCAAAGATAATTTAAATCGTTCAAAAGTGACAGTAAAGACCTTCATAATGTTTATGGATTATAAAATCAATTTTTATATTTTTATATATTCTACTCATTTTAATACCTAACAATCGTTCTATTCATTCATGTTAATAGATGATTTCCGAAGGATCATGTGACACTGTAATGATGCTAAAAATTCAGCTTTGCATCACGGGAATAAATTACATTTTAAAATATAAAAAAATAGAGAACAGTTATTTTAAATGGTAATAATACTTTACAAAATTACTGTTTTAGTGTAAATGCAGCCTTGGTGAACATAAGAGACTTCTTTTAAAAACAAACAAACAAAAAAATCTTACAGACCCCAAACTTTTGAACAGTAGTGTAAATAATATAAATGAAAAATAATTTGGCAACACTAGTCAGAAAAACTGTATAAAAATACAAAGAAATTCAACAAAATACTGGTTAATCACAGCCAAGATTTTTTGAGACGAATCAAACAGTTAAAAGGAACTCTGTCATCATTTACTCGCCCTTAAGTTGTTCCAAACCTGTATGAGTTTCTTTCTTCTGTTGAACACAAAAGACATTTTGAAGAATGTTGGTAATCAAAGAGTGGCTGGTAGCCATTGACTTCCATAGTATGAAAAAAAATACTATGGAAGTCAATGGTTACCGTCAGCTGTTTGGTTACCAACATTCTTCAAAATATCTTCTTTTGTGCTCAACAGAAGAAAGAAACTCATACAGGTTTGGACCAAGTGGAGGGGAAGTAAATGATGCCAGAATTTCCATTTTTGGGTGAACTATCCATTTAATACCTGGACTGGAATCAGGTGGAGGGGGCAAAGTAAATGGAAAGAAGGAAGTTAGGTGACAAAATAGAGGGAAAGGAGGATGTTCTCACCTCTAGCGGGGAAGAGAGAGTGACGGTAGGGGAACTGAGGCTACGGGGTCTGCGCACTTGAGGTTCGCTTAGATGGCCGCTGGAGGAGGAAGGGGTGGAAGCGGGGGGCGTGGTTGCTGTAGCGCCCCCTACTGCCGCAGCTGAGGTACTGGCTCCATCTTCAGTGTGCTGCTGGTCAAAGAAAGGGATCAATTAGCTAGTCACCACAAGGTCTTGTCCAAGGGCACGCCATCCAACACTGAGTCTGCATTCAAGGTTTAAAAGGGATCCAGAATGGAGAGCAAGGTCTAAAATTCTGTATTAGGAAATGAATGCTATTAAACTGATCAACAATTGTAAGGTTTAATTTGATTGTGGGGACAAACATAGAAGTCTGATTGGTTTTTAAATGACTACAGAATATTTTAAGGAAGTTAAAAGATCGGAGATCAGTTAAATAAGCCTTTTATCTGGTCTGTTATTAAAAAAAAAAGAAGGATGAAGAATAGAGAGTTTACTACCACAAGGAACAGAAAGATAAGATATAGATCAAGAGCAACCAGAGTAGCAATAAATAGATCAAGAAAACACGAAATAACATCCAGACATTGTGACGGGACAAGTACACAAGATCATGGCAGCACAGATAAAGGCAGAACAACAAAAAGAAGACGGGATTGATAGAGAAGAGAAGAACCATGGAAGACATTTCGATTTGACAGTGAATGATGCTGGAAAAACATCGGAGGATGAACAGACCTCCGTTAGCTTTAGCTAGGCTTTGCTACCTGCAGAATGGGCCTCGTCCAGGTGGTGCTACGGTTGTTGTGGTTGACGTAGTACATTCGTCCCTTGTTGTCTTTGCGCTCCTCCCAGCCTGGCGGAAGGCCTGGTGTGGTCAGGGCGTAGGAGGCCGATGGAGACTGAACAGAGTGAAAAGAACAGATGAGTTTGCATATTCACAAAATAAAGCAGCAGGAGAAACTTGCTGATATTAAAATCTGTATCACTGTCAGTTCTGCTACAATGAATGAATCAGTATAGATTTTATATCAGGGTCATATCTGTAGGAGAAGCCTTGTCAACTGATATGACATTCAATATGACGAGTGTGGGAATACTGTACACTTAAAACCAGAATACTAACACAAATGTAGATACAAATACACCCAAGCACAACTAAACACAGCATCCAAAACAAACTCCACACAAGGTGACATGCTTTAATAGTATTATGGATACATTAGAAATGCATCCGATAAATATGTCTGGGTGAAGATGGACAAGTGGTGGTGTAAATCAATCCCTCACAATCTCTATATGTATAGACATACACACTAAAAAACTGGAATAAAATGGAAAAAAGAAATTATGAAATGAGATGCGTCACCAAATAAAGAGTGCTCTTAATAAAAAAAAGGCTAAATTAAACTGTATATGCGCAAAAAGTATACACTTATAAATATAAATTAATATCATAAAATAAATTAAATTAATTTTAAATAATAATAATAATTCTTATTCTTAACCATCTTACTAAAAATTGAAATAAATGAATGGAAAAAAAAAAAACTCACAATCTCTTATATTGCATTAAAGAAAGCTCCTAACAAAAATGTATAAATTTATTAAAACAAATGATGAATTTATAAATATAAATTAAATAAATAAAAATGTATATAAATTAAGTAATAAAAATGTAATTATATTAATAATAATTAATATACTTAACACCTCTAAATCAATCAATCAATCAATCAATAAAGAAGAAAAACCAAGACGACACAAATGTACAACATGTGGACTTTACCATGGTGTCCTCAACGCCTGTGACCGTTTGTGCTCTTGTTCGTCGGGTCTGGGAGCTCTGCTGGACAATAACAGCTGCTTTTAGATGGGGCGGGCAATTGCCCTGTTTTGGGCCAGTGGGAGAGGGGAAATGAAGGCAAATGGAAGGACAGGGTCAGCCAGAAAGTGTAACTAAGAGAAGATGGGGAAGTGATTTCAGGGTGGTTTTGGTTATTTTAAGTGATTTTTGACGGCTGAAGGGGGTAATTTTGTGAGAGGTAAACTGCAGTGTGACGCAAGGATACAGCAACCCAAAAAACTGGTGTAACGAGGTGTGATTAGATGAACTCCAGGGAGTGGATTTAATGTGAAATCACTGTTGGATGATTAGAATTGAGAACACATTGAGATTTGATTAAAGAGTGATAGGAGAGTGAAAGAAATGCCCAGGTGCATATTTGTAGAAATTACTTAATTTGCAATTAAGAGATGATTACAGTGCCAACATTTTGTTTTTGTCTTATAATGACAGTAAATCATTACAGGATTTTCATTTTGTGTGAACCATTCCTTTAATATAAGTCATACTGTAAAATCGTAGCGAAGCTCATTAAAATGAAACCAAAATAACTAACCAATAAATACATTTGTAATATATACTCGTATGCTTACCGAGCCTGCATTTATTTGATCAAAAATCCAGTAAAAACAGAAATATTACTACAAACTGTTATAACAATTTCTTATTTTAATATCTTTTCAAATGTAATTTATACCTGTGATGGCAAAGCTAAATTGAGCAGCCATTACTCCAGTCTTCAATGTCAGAAATCATTCTAATATGCTCTAATCATTTCAAATATTACGTTTTTTACTGTATTTTTGGTCGCTTCCATAAACGCAGCAATAATAATGACTGATTGTAACTAAGACTGTCCTGAGATTAAATCGTGTCCACAATGACAGATCTAAAAGGTTTCCAAGAATCATCCAAATAAGTAGCTTCCTTCAGCATTTCAAACTGACTCAACGACTATAAAAACCGAGGAAACGACACCTGGGCTAGTATCCGACTGGCACTCCGACTTTACATTTCAAATACCGAAAGAGTCAACTCTCACACAGACAATGAAATGCTTTCCATCTGCTTCTACATGGATGTAATAAAAGACACTCTTGTCTCAAACAGGGCAATCCAATTAGCCATCCACTCAAGTAATGATTGCACATTTCCACTCGTGTGAAATGTCAGCCTCCTCGCACACAGGGACAGGAAGTGTGGGAGAAATGCCACCTCTCACCCACGCTAATATCAGACAGATTTGCTGTGACTATAGCGAAATCCCTCATCTGCAGCTCTCAGAAGCACTTCACAGCCAGAGAGAACCGGGCCACCAACCAATCGGCCTCTTGTCAGAATAAAGTAGACACGAAGCATAAAGGACATGGAATGGGCCGCTATTTAAAGCGGATTCAGGCGGATGAGGAAAAGCATTTTTTTCCCCCAGTGTAAAGGAAACGTTACTTCAAAGCTTCAAAGTTCACGAATGTTGTTGAAGTGTGGAGTTAAAAGATTAATGTGACTACTTTATATTCAAATTATTCAAGTGGACAGACTTTGGGCATTTTAGACTGCTCTTTTAAATGATCCCAGGCATTAGGAGATGCTTTGCAAAAGTTAGGAGCAGAAGAATAAAAGCTTCCAGAGTGATTCAGGTAAATCAGGGACTGAGAGAGATATAACACTATATATAACAAAAAAAAAGATTTGCTCATCCATGTCATTTTATATCAGTATGACTTACTTTGTTCAGAGGAACAGAAAGGAAAATATTGAGAAGGGCAAAAAAGGTAAAAGTAGCCCCTGTGAAATATATTCAAAGTCTAGATGCCATATAATTTAAGAACTTTTTTTAAAAGAAATTAATACTTTTATTCAGCAAGCATGCTTTAAATTGATCAAAATTGACTGTATTATCACGTCAAACTTAAAACTGGAATAACGGCTGCTGAAAATTCAGCTTTGCATCACAGGATAAATAACATATTAAAATATATTCCCATAGAAAACAGTTATTTTAGATTGCAATAATATTTTTCAATAACATTACTGTTTTTACTGTATTTTTGATCAAATAAATAGAACCTTGGTGAGCAAAAAAACAAAAAAAAAACTTACTGACCCGCAAACATTTGAACAACACTATAAATTCTAACCTATAATATGTTTTTAGATGACATTAAATATAGACCCTAAGTTGTATGGATCAGATTTTAAGTACATATCTGTCTGTCTTTTCTGGGCCTGACAGGCCCTGGTCACAATGTTTTGTTGTATGAAGAAGAGCAGCGCAAACATTCATTTAAATAATTTTTTGTGCTCGACAAAGAAGATAAAAACTCCAGTAGGTTTGGAACAACATTAGAATGAGTAAATGATGAATTATGGGTGAACTACTCTAGAGTCATTTACATTTACATTACATTTAGTCATTTAGCAGATGCTTTTATCCATGACGACTTACAAATGCGGACAATAGAAGCAATCAAACCAACAAAAGAGCAATAATATGTAAGTGCTGTGGCAAGTCCCGTTTAGTCATGTGTTGTTATACTTCTGAAAACCTTGTTAGCACAACTAGTATTCATATAGATAAAGCGCTACAAACAATTGAATCATACAAGGCTTACAGCAAAAAAAAAATCACATTTGCTTTATGCCTTTATAAGGTTTAACAACTGATCTTAATACACAGCACAAGGTTATTAGAGCTCTCCTGTGTGAGCTGCCAGATCTTATCTTGGAAATTCCCAGCATGCATTGCTCTAAATGCCACAATACAATAATGAAATGGACACCAAAGCATTCAAGGGACTAACCCAACCTCATGACCCATCCACAAACCTCATTTCAAAACAGACTTATCGCACACAGAAGCAGACAGGGTCATCAGACTGTCACATCTGCAGGAACTTGCAGAAAATAAATACATAAAAGTTTCAAGGCTGGGAATCATGCCATTTAAATGAAGCGCAATCGCTTCAGAGATGTGGTGCACTTCCAGTGAAACATCCAGTGTCTATGTCTGTTTCCTGCCTCATGCACACGGGAGCAGTTCACACGGTGACCTCATTCACATGGGTAATGTAATTTTACCATATGTGGCTTATCTGCTGTAAAACAGGATCATTTAAAGAGACAGCGCACTATTTACCACTCAAAATGTTTTGCTTGTGCATCTTAAAGCGTGAAACAAACTACATTATTGCTGCTTGTAACAGTGAGAAATTATTTTGGCAAGCTGTCTCTTAAAAATTGGAAATGTCCCCATGCAGCGACGCAATCGATTACGAGGCAGCTCTTTTATAGAACGCAGCACTTTTTTACAAACATTACTGAGCTGCACTGTTAAATGATCCATTAAGAGAACTCCCACAGTCACATTATCACCATGGAAACACGTCAACTTATCTCATACGATGACATCATAATCACCACTACAGCATGAATAAATCAATCCTAGGAGTGTAATAAAGCCTCACAAGTCACTCTGAATTATCATTTGACATACGCACACAAAAACTACACAAACACTTGACAGGTGCTACATTTCTGACCAAAAAATAGGTGACATTTTATAATAACATTGGGTTAGTCATTTTCATAATATAATGTTTAATATGAATAAATGAATGTTTAAATTTTTTTTTATATATATAATACATTAATCAAAGTTTCATGATATTTCGAACTACCTGTTCATGTGCAATAATGATCTGTCAAGCATTATGTAATGTGTTTTTTCCTTTTGATTCTTAAGGTCTTTGCACACTGAGTCCGAAATTCTCGTCCGAAATTTCCGCACGTTAAAAAATAAATACGACCTCACGTTGTGTCAATCATGTTTACACACTGCCTCTGAAAGTTTCGTCCGTCATAAAAAAATTCGGGTCAAGTTAGATTTTTCTGCGTTTTTGCATCCGTAGCAAGCATTTCGATAGGAAAGGATGACGAATACGAAAAAAAATAAAAATAAAACGAAAAAACGCATACGAAACTTATTGCAAAGACCTTTATTCAACAGATACAGTAGAAAGAAGATGGATGTTATAAGTAAGAGATGGAAAATTTGCCAGGCCGGATTTGAACCCGTGTCAACTATATAAGCATCAAGGCTCAACGTGCCAGGAGTGTCATGGCTTTATAGAAGAATTTATAGAATTGTTTTGACATTGTTGTTGAAATGAATTGGAACTGATTAATCATTTACAATAAAGTCAGGAATGTGTATTAATGAAGTAAACAGGGTCAATTTTAACTTTATGTTGATTTTAAAGCATTATATAAAGTGTTACTAAAGATTCCTATTGTCACATTCATGGCACTCCTAAAAGCAGCCAAGATGTTAATTACAGACAACAGGAACATTTTTAAATCAGGTGAACTTCTGAATGTGTTAGGGAGTTTATAGCTCTTGATTTGACGCCGAAAGAGTGAAAAATTGTATAGTACTGAGAGTGAGTGAAAGAAACACCACATGCAGAGTGAAGGAGAGGTGAGGAGGAGAAAAGCAGATGTACCGTTGGTGTGGGAGGTTGAGCTTGATCACTGACTCCATCGGTCATACTAGAGGAGCGTAGCCGAGAGGAAAGATGACTCTGCTGGAGTGAGAGAAAGAGATAAAAAGGCATTAGACACTGTTATAAATAAATATCTAATATCATTCAGAGTGGCCATTTTCTAAGTGGTCCTCTGAACGGCATAGGCTCTGAATTCAGTCAAGTCATAAAAAAAAGTCAGACATACAAAAAAAAAATCTGATTTTGTTTTTGGCTTAGTTGAATCTGAAAAGAAATATAAAAAACATAATATTTAATTTAAATAATTTAATATTTAATAATAAACATTTTGTTTACAAATTCTGCTTTGAAGTATTTTTTGTAAATTTCATATTTCATGATTTAATTAATATTTAATGCTTTTTTTTTTTTTTTTACAACCAATGATTTCAAGTAGTTTTTTTCCCTGATAATTTCAGATGTGATGTGACATGACCAAATTCAGTTCAGTAGTGTCTACACAAAGTTCAGTAGTGTCTCAAGCCATCTGAATTCATCTACACTCACATGTGCTATTCAATATGTATTGAATGATAGATGAGTGAGCGATCAAGCGATTTCAAACACATATGCATGAATGTGTAAAAACAGTAATGCCTCTGGCGCTTATGTATCTGATACACTTTGTGAATTCAACACTGAAGCAACATTTTCAGTTTATACCTCTCAAGGCCCCTTGTTTTTTTTGTTTTGTTTATTAGTCTAATTTGACTATACTTTCAGCCACAAAAAAAAAAAAATAGTGTAGCAACTTCAGGTCTGTTTAACACAATTAGAAATAGAAACAAGACACCAGATTCTGTCTGAGTCTATTCCAGTTTTTCATCTAGACATGCAAACTACATTGTCTGAACAAATAAGCAATGTATTATCCAGTTTCATTACTTGCAAATACCACAAAAGCCACTCAGTCCAAAATATTTAATTTTAAAAACAATCCAGTCTTAAGTGCAGTGTGAACAAAGCCATAGTAAGAGATTTTTCCCAACTGAGTGGCTCCTTTCTGCAGAAGTTCACAGAGGACCCCTGCGCTGCCTCCACAATGACTCAGTGAGTGATTCAGCATGCGTGTACAGAGGTGCACGTGTGAAGAGTCAGCTATTAGTTTTGACTCTCTTAATAACATAATTTGACTCACCATTTCAAGAAAATTACACATAATACCCACACAAGTAGCTGTGCTGATATAGAGCCATAATAACATAATTTGTTATTATGTTTTTTTTTCTGATAATTTCAGATGTGATGTGACATGACTCAGATGTGATGTCACACAGCTACAAGTGTGATACTGCATTTATACAACAGTTTGATGGTGCAAATGTGTGTAAAAATTTTTTTTAAATAAACAACCATGGAGTGTCTTAAAAACCCTTTTGTGTGCTGAACTACTTCCTGAATGTCCACTGAGGAAGACAATATCTTTGTTATTGTATCATTTCAACTGTTAAGGGGATTTCCCATGACAATGCTGGTCAGTGCATTTGTTGGTTGCGTCTTACAAGATGTTGTTGAAAGAAAAAATTATGTCGTTTATAACCTTGTTTCAGTCTCTTTCAATATAAAAGTCTTTGCTACTGATGCACTCACAGTCTCTTGATGGTGTAACAATGTAAACAAAATGACAATCACTAACACACAGACTGTTTTTCAATAACATACTATTTAATACTACTATTATTTATATAAATATTATACATACAAAAATATTTAATAAACAACAATAGCCATCATAAAAGTTGCTAAGCAATTCAGTCAAAAGTACAAAGGCAGTGCTCTGATATACAGCTTTAGTTACATAAAAATATAAAGTTAAGAAACTTTAAAACTATTTGCTCTGGAACACATAATACTTTAATGAGACCAAAGACTGCCTGTTAGATATACCTAAAATGAATTGTTGCCCATGTTTAACCACTATAGAGACATCAGAGCCAGAACTGACTGAGGTAAGGCTGCTCTCGGCAGGCTTATAAGCACTGAAAGAGCTCACATCTCTGAAAATGTTGAAGCAAATGCTCAAATAGGGGTTATCTTTTTATATATAAATATATATAGAGAGTAGTTGGTTATTAATTTTCATCTTTCTCTTATTCTCTTTAGGCGCTTTCGCACCACGTAGTTCTAGAAACTAGCCAGCAGGGTCGTTCCTAGAGAACCAATTTCCCCCTCAGTCCGTTTTCCTGGTTGCACTCGCACTGGCAGCAGGAACTCTGAAGCGGCCGACAGCGACGTCTTTATTTGTGGCATTTACAAATGTGAACAACTGGTGGATGGAGGACGCCATGATCGGAGCTGTTTTTGTTGTGTGCTGTGGGGTTTGTGATAACGGAGATGGAATGTAAATGCACAAATTGCGCGATTAAGAGCATGAAAATCTGACTAAATCTCCTATGACAACTTGCAGTGTTATCATCGAGGCTGAGAAAAAAACATAACGCTGCAGGCAACAGGTAAACGCCGTTAGAGTTGTTTTCCATGTTCGTGGAGTAAATATTCTTACAAGGCTTTTTAAAAATGCTAGGTAGACGGTGTTTCGTATGCGTTTGGCCAATTAGCGTACACTGCGTCACTGGTAGTTCCTATAGAACTGTTTTAGACCCTACTCTGAAGTAGGAGCTAAATTAGTTCCCCCAAATGGAGTTCCTAGAAATGCATACGTTCCTAGTTCCTGCGGTGCAAACACGCCAAAAACAGGGAACTCCCGGTAACAGTTCTAGGAACTATGAAAGGGTTCCTCCGGTGCGAAAACGCCTTCTGTGGCCCTTCGAATATAGATGTATAGATGACAGCAGATTTAAAACTTTGTTCTGTCTTACCACAGCAGAGCTGGGTCCTGGGATTTCTCCGTTCGTGTCTGGAGCAAGAGACAATCGAAGGCTGATTTCATCTGAGAATTCTGGAGTGCTAGGGAGGGGCATTGCCAGAGAGGCCGGTCCAGACAGAGAATGGTTCAGACTGTCCGTCATTAAAGTTGGGTCCTCCTCTGATATGGGTTCCCATGACTGGAAAAGGGGAGATATGCATGAGAACCTAACATAATACTGCTTTTATAAAAAAAAAAAATGGCACTAAATATGTAAAAACATCTGATTTTTAACCACAGTGAGAAGCTTTATTTAGAACCAGACACTTTTCACAAAAATGATGATGCTATCTAGCTCACGTCATAGGTGCAGAGGTCAGGGTTAAATACTAACGTCGTCTATGTCCCTGATGTCCAGCTGCTCGTTTTCCAGGTCTTCGCTAATGTGACGTCGAGAGCGGAAAACTCTGTGGGCTTCCTGGTTAATCTGCCGCAAGTGATTATCATTTTCCGTTTCTGAAACCACATCCCTAAAGCACAGACAGGGAGAAAAAAAGTGTGTTCCACACATATAAGGGTCTGGTAAGGCTGTCAGAAAATCATGATAAATTCATCACATCAATATCCTTGATTTTAGTTTTTCAGTGTTTTTGCTCATGTGCTTTTTGATAAATGGCAAAAGGGGTCACATACACACTACTGGGCCTCTTCCACTGTGTGGTGCGGTTGTTGTGGTTGACGTAGTATGTCCGTCCCAGGTTATCCACCTTCTCTTCCCAGCCCGGAGGCAGCGGAGGCAGGAGCTGCTGAGGTCTCTGTGAACCTGGATCCGTGGAGTCTGTCACTTCCCAGCCCTGAGAAGAACAAAGTGAGAGACAGAAGAGTAAGTGAGAGTGAGACAATCATCAAAATGTTAGTATTTTAGGACCAAAAATGTTCATTACAAAAAATCTAGGGACAAGGTTGTTTTCAAGAACATTTCAAAAGTCGAAAGTCTCAAAGTGCCTAATTTTTTTGAATGTTAAATACTTTCTCCTATTCCATCTTAATGTGTTATGATTAGTATTGCAGCTGCTATGACACAGCACTCTCCACTAGCAGAGAGAAAATAAAAATCTAACTGAACAGAGGGAATAAAAGTCACAGAACAGGAAGCTAAGAAAGTTAAAGGAAGGAAATGCCAGACAGTCAAACAGTTCAAGCCAAATGTCATACTTTAAACGAAAAATGCCATGTAGTCTGTGGGGACGAGGATGAATAGACACTAAAATCACTAAAAAGCAGGAGAGAAAGCAAGAAAGGAGACATTTAAGTGTGTCTCCATTCTGGATAGAAAATATTTCAAGCCATCTGTCAGTTATCTGCCATGGTCTATAATACTGGAGTAATCTCTGCATCTAATGCAAATCTACATGTTTCAACAACTACAATTCCACTTACATGATTTCTTCTGAAATAAAAGGCAAGTTTCAGTTACAGTTTTTATCTTTTAAGAAATATGCTGTAATTTAGATGCCACTGCCCTTATTACTTATTTATTAATAATTAATTTATTACTCATTTACTTACATTTCAGCATGTCATATTAATTCATTTTAGTCCATTTATAAGTGAGTTGATGATTTAGTTGATAAACTGGACTGTCAGAATCAATTTACTACATTAAAAAAAACATTGTTAGTGTATTATTAATATCGTTTATCTTGTCATATTTTTAAAAATTATCTATTGATAGAAATTCTTACTACCTTTATTGCTGAAAGAAAAGCCTGACAATGAACATTTTCTTTTTTTGAGATTATACAAAATAGTTTTTGCTAATTACCTCAGCTTCTTCTCTCATCTCACTGCTTTCTTCCTCATGTCCTCCGTTTTTTGGCAGATAGGCCATCTTCAGCCTCAAGTAGCCTTTCACCCGAGACTTATGGCTACAGGACATAAAAGCATGTCATCACACAAGTCATCATAGAGTATACTAAACTAGTATTTTTTTTTAACATATTTTGTATTCTTTACATAAGCTGTAACTGAATTTGTTAAGCCCTTAATTAGAAGGAATTTAATTGTTTGAATTTATTTTTAATATTTTAAGAGCCACAATATTTTGCCTATAAACTAAAAAATAGTTTTAAAAAAAGGTTTAAGAATCACTGTATAGCAAAATATAGTTTACAGTGAAGTAGAGTCATCAAGGATAACATTCAAAATACAGCAAAGTGCAGTCCACATGTATTAACTGTTCCTGTGTAAAATCTCTGGCTGTAACTATAGCCACAGGGCATTAAGGGAATTCACAGGTGTTCGTGTGGTAGCTGCACATTTCGTTCCGAAAGAACATACAAATCTCAAATGTGCTGTATTGTATCAAACGTCCAGTCCTCTGAATAAGGTCAAAGTGCAAAATCAACACTGTTGTAACTTTAAATATAACTGCTAATGTTCCTGTATTGCATTTGTGAAATCTGCATGGCCACTGACCTTCTTGGACGCAGGAGAAAGTCTTTAAACGTGTACGGCCGCTCCATCGCAGGGTCCTCTGTCTATACATCAACAAAACACCACAGAAAATAAACAAACATGTATCAAATCTGGGCCAATTTTAGTAGAGTCTTACAAAGCATAACAGTCCCAGCTTGTTTGGGGGGTTGGAGAACGGGAGATATAGACCCTTGGATGACGTCCAGCTGTCTTATGTAACACTGTTCTCCTGTTACATTTGAACTGCCCACAGGTTGGATATTCACGGCTGGTCATTAGTGGCTACAATTTGATGGAAATTGAGGGAATTGGCACCTCTGCCAGTGCCCGAAACCAAAACTATGTGAGGAAAGTCTGGAGGCCCTGAAGGAAAACGGGAGAGTTTTCCTGTTTGGCAAGTCTAGATCAAACAGGAGGTGAAACGCATTCAGATTTCAAAACCAGTTAAACCAAAAATCCACAAGGTAGCTTAATCAATATACCAACTCCAAAGGAAATATAAAACCATATATACATGTCTGATCCAAGTATAGGAAACCGCTTTTAAATATTCAGCAATAAGAGCAGGCAGAGAAGAAGCGCGTGGTCTGGACTGCAATCACGCAGAACTGAACAGTAGATATGTAGGCGGCCGCAAGGAAAACAGACCAGACTCTGTGTGTGCGAGCCTAAATATGCAATCCAGCAAAGAAATCTCACTTCGCCACTGGAAATAGTTTAAAGGTGACATATCATGAAAATCTGACTTTTCCGGTTTTAAGTGCTATAATCAAGTCCCTGGTGCATCTACCAACCAAGGAAACGTGAAAAAGATTAACCCAGTAACTTTGTTTTGGGAAGCCT